AAGAGTATGGGAATAGCTGCATGGACTTTGGACGACCTCAGGCCGGCAGATGTCCCTGTGTCACATTCTTTTGAGTTAAATGACGACAGACCCATTTCGCACGCCGTTCGGAGGCTCCCTCCGAGACACAACGCGGTAGTGCGCGAGGAGATCGAGAAGATGCAGAAGGCAGGGATCATTACCCCCTCTGTAGCTCCTTGGTCGTTTCCGGTCGTCATCGCAACGAAGAAGGACGGGAAACCTCGCTTCTGTGTTGACTACCGCGCGCTTAACCGGGTGATGAAGGCCGACAAGTGGCCGTTGCCCAAAATGGAAGAGATATTCGACGACCTTGAAGGAAGCAAAGTGTTCACTACCCTGGACTTGTTCTCAGGTTATTGGCAAGTGCGGATGGCTTCATGGTGCAAAGAACAGACGACGTTTGTCTGTCGGTACGGGACCTTTCAATTTGAAGTAATGCCATTCGGGCTCATGAACGCTCCTTCAACATTTCAAAGGATGATGGATGGCGTATTCAGAGACCTGCCATTCGTCCGAGTATACCTTGATGACGTGGTTATCTTTTCAAAGTCCTTGGACGTCCATGTTGACCATTTAATTGAAGTGTTCGAGCTGATTGCTCGCAGTGGATTGAAGTTGAAGCTTGCGAAATGTTCCTTCGCGCAATCACAGACCAGGCTATTGGGGCACGTCATCGGAAAGAAAGGGATTGAGGTGGATCCAGAGAAGACATCGATCATTTGGGACACCCCCGAGCCGCGCACCAAGACGGAGTTACGAAGCTTTCTTGGACTAGCGGGGTATTACCGCCGATTCATCCCTAAGTTCGCAGAAGTCTCTGCATCGTTGCATGCTGCTACTTCTACCAAAGTCGAATTTGAATTTACGGAAGAGATGCGGACCGCCTTCCAGGAGTTGAAGAATAGGGTGACGTCTCCTCCGCTGTTGGCGCTCCCGAAGTTTGACGAACCCTTCGTGGTAGAGACAGATGCATCCAACAGTCAGGTTCAGTTCTGTAATTGCGGCGGATTTGAACGGTAACAAAGACTCTCACTGGCTATTCGCCATGGGAGTTACAGTAGCATATGCGTGGTGCGCAGCAAGGCAAACCCGTCTGTGTCAGCCACTACAGTATGACCGCTCACACCCGTTGCCTCAAATGTGGGCATACATACCGTACAGAAGTTCGCCATTTCAAAATTTTTTTAAATTTTTCCCCCGCAGTACAGCATGCCCTTTCTCTCTCCTGAAATTTCCTTCAAATTCTCTGCCAAGCTTTACAGCACAGAGGCTTCACGTCCCCCCTAGCACATCCCCCAACTTTGTGCTTGCATCCTCGTCAGCAGGCGAGGCAAACTCGCGCCCCGTTCATGCGGCGCCCCACTCCCGCGCCCTCCCCGCCCCTTTCGACGCCTCCCTCGCCGCCGCTGACGCCGCCAGCCCCCGTCTTCCACACCTCCCTCGCCGGCAACCTCCCGCACTCCTCCATGGGCGGCCACTACGTCCCGGTGCGGTCTTCCGTGCGCCCCGACGCCCTCTCCGATGACGAGGTCCGCATGCGCGCAACTGTCGACGCTAAGGTCCAGCGCCGCCTGCTCCCCATCCTCTTCATCGCTGCCCTCATGTGCTACCTCGACCGCACAAACCTCTCCTTCGCCGCCCTCGACATGAACACGGATCTCGGCTTTTCGGAGCGCACGTATGGCATCGGCGCCGGCGTCTTCTTCACTACCTACGCCGCATTCGGCATCCCGTGCAGCGTCTTCGTCAAGAGGATTGGCGCCAAGCTGGGTTTGCCCTTCATTTTGCTCGCGTGGGGGCTCGCGTCCGGCGCTATGGCCCTGATTACAAGCGTTAGAGATTTTTATTTGCTCCGCTTGCTTGTCGGCGCGACTGAGTCGGGCTTCTTTCCGGCCGTCATCTACTACTTAACCTTGTGGTTTGCGGAGGAGGATATGGGGCTCAGTTATACAATTGTCATGACGTCCACGGCCGTGTCTGGTATCATTGGCGGCCCGCTCGCGGGAATTATCATGACCTATCTCAACGGCTTTCTGGGCATTCGAAGCTGGCGCTGGCTCTTCATTGCAGAGGCTGTCCCTACCATTTTTCTTGCGTTCTTCATGCTGTTCTATCTAGATGGCGAGCCGTCCAAGGCCAGGTTTCTCACGAGAGAGGAGCGCGAATGGCTTATGAACCGACAACAGACGGAGCTCGACAATCGCAACGGCAACCATGCCGTTGGAGGGCTGGCCCAGGCTTTGCGATTGACATGGCTCTGGCTCATTATCGGTATCTGGTTGCTCTACTCGTGTGGCTATTATGGAATCATCTTTTGGCTCCCGCTTCTACTCAAGAGCGTTTCGCATATGAGCAATGTGATTGTCGGTTTCATTTCCGCCCTGCCATATCTATGTGCAGGAGCTGCTATGATTCTGGTCGCTCGGTCATCAGACCGTTCGCGTGAGCGCCGCTTACATCTCGCGGTCTCCGCTTCTGTAGCTGCTATGGGGTTCTTCGGCGCAAGCGTGATTCATACCTTGTTGGGAGAGCAGTTGCTTTTGCTGTTGTTCTGTCTCAGTGTCGCCGCGTCGGGCGTATGGGCAATGTTCGGCCCGTACTGGGCTATTCCTACGAGCATTCTCAGCGGCGAGACGGCCGCGGCGGGCTTTGCGCTCATTAATTCAACCGGTGTCATTGGTGGCTATCTTGGTCCCTTCTTGGTGGGAGAGTTGACTGCTAGGACTGGGTCTTATGATGCGGCGCTTGGCCTCTTTGGTATATTCATGATTGTTTGTGCTGGCTTATCCCTCTGTCTGAGACCCAATATCGGAGATCAAACGCCGTGCCAAAGCAACGATCAACTACCAATTGAGAACCACAGAAAATACTCAAGCCCACCTATGCAGGATGTGGAGGAAGGGGAGCGGATGAAGTAGTAGCGTGTTCAGAAAACAAAAAAAGAAAGAGAAGTAGGCAAGTCGAGGGACATGGTCTATGTACTTGCGTTTTATTTCTGTTCGAACACATGCCGCTCCGCCGAATAGACTCTCGTGTTGTGGTGCTGTACATAAAGGAAAAGTTCTTCAGGTTGCCGTTAGCCGGCGATGATTGTATTGACAATGCCTATGTTCAAAAAAATGCGTGTCTAGTCTACAGCACGAGACGGGAGTTTTGGTCGACTCGAAGATGGTGGCTTCTTGGACACAACGGCAGGAACGCTTTGGATTTTCGACCCGAAGTGAGAGTGGAGCTTGTTGTTGATAATCTCAACATGTGAACCTGTCGCCCGCACCGGATTGGGATTCACGTAAAGAGTGGAAAGATATTGGGTAACGTCGCCGAGTTCCTGCAAGTCGATACCGAGTTTCTGCAACCACTCCTTCATATCACGGTCCTGCAGCGTGCCGGCGATGAAAATGCACGCGACTGCGATGAGGTAAGGCGGGTACCGCAAACATGCGTCCGTGCGGTAAGAGTCATTGAGTATTGGCCAGGCGGAGGTGAGCAAATCAGTCATGTTCGCATCGGCACAATACTGGACCAGCGGGCGATAGGGATGGTAGATTATGAGATCGAAGTCCAAGCAGGCTATCATCTTGAACTCGTAGTCATAGACGTGCGCAACGGTGTAGGGATACGGGTGGTCGCCCACATAGAGAGATAACATCTGTGCGACGACGATTTTTGCAGGCATCTGGTGTTCTTCAGACTTTGCTGCGAGGTACTAAAAAGGGCAAGTAGATGGGGAAAGCAGGATCGCAATGTGAGTTTCGGAGTTTAAGCATAGCCGTGCAGAAATGTACAGTGGTGGGAGACTTACCAATGCGACGGGGGCGATGAGACGTGGGTCATGGTCGCGGATGGCGTTCCTGAGGAAGAAGCGTTTGAAATATACGATAGCGGTCGCAGCAACGCGTTGGCGCAGCTTTGAGTTTTTCGCGAGAGTGGTGATGGTTTGAGAGTAGATGCTCTTGATGGTGTTAATCTCATCTTCCTTGAACAATGGGTGATCCCTGCGTTGCACAAAAACAACCATAAAGGCATAAAAGAGATTTGTTAGAATACACGCACTTCCAGAAGATAGTGAGAAAATGTAACTCCCACAAAAGGAGACGCGGAGAATGTACCTTTTGATGACGGCATGCGACTGGGACATGAACTCCTCGGCGCTCCTCAGCCAGTTCCGGTAGTGCGTGGAGCTCCAAAAGTTGGCAGCCATGGCGCGCGGGCGTCAAACGGTTCGAGCAATTGTAGTCGAGCTCTTTTGCCGACGAACGAAGTCAGCGGTCATGTGCACGGAGGCGTCGGCGTGGGTACGGTGGTTGTGTGTGTAGGTGGAGAGTCGTAGAGGCGGAATGAAAAGGGGAGCATTGCAGACGAGACGTTAGGAAATGGACACGCGCCAAATCGTGGCAGGCGGAGCCAGTCATGATACCAGCAACATGCGTGTCCCAGGAGCACTGCTGGACCGATGACAAGTGAAGTGATTTTTTGATATTTTAACGACAGGCTTGTCGATTCTGATCCTGAGATCAGGATCAGAGGCTGCCCCCTTTTTGCCTCACCATAGCTTTTTCTGCGTTCGCAATCGCCGTCGTCCGCCCATAGAGTATTCAATTGAGGTTGTGTCTGAGTCTGCTAATGTTTCCGCGTTTGATTTTCTCTGGAAGAAAGTGGTTACCGCAGAGAGACATCTTAAATCGTCTTGAATCTTGTCAAGATGGCGAAAAGGCGACACGACGAGATGAATTCAATTGAGGTGGAGGGCGTTTCACCCAGAACTCAAGATAGCAGTGAAAGGAAGAAGAAGAAGAAGAAAAAGGACAAGAACTTAATGAAAGGCGATGCGTCTAAAATTGCTCCAGTCTCGGCTGAGAAGGAAAGAACGACAAAAGAGAGTGAGAAGAAACGGAGTAAGAAGGAGAAGGAAGACAGGCGCAAGAAGCGACGAAAATCAATAGAGACTCATGAAGAGAATGAAGCTGAGGAAGCCATGGATTTAACTTTGGATGAGACACCGGTTAACGAAAAGAAAAAGAAGAAGAGGGACAAGGAAAGGAGCAGTGAGAAAAAACGGAAGGACAAAAAAAGTGGGAGCAAAAAGAAGCAACGGCACACAACTTTAAGCGATTCTGACAACGAAAACGTCACAAAGAATGGGGAGTTGAATGGCTCCGTAATTACTTCGACCCCTGGCGATGAGAACAACACTAACGCGAACCTGCCTACTGTGGACGAAATTCTGAAGAAAGCGACCACAAAACGAAATGCCTTTCTACATGGCCACGCTGCAGTGCCTCTATTTCGACCTCAAGCATTGCGATCACTAGACAGTAAGACGCAAGTCAGTATGGTTGGTGCGTCTGCGGACTTTTGCGAAAGGATAATGTATCTGATTCATGATACTGTTTCTACCGCGAAAAAGTGGATGAACCCAAACGCGGATGATGATGCTGTAGACCTAGAAGAATCAGTTGTGAGTGATATGGTTCGCTTGAAGAAGGTTCCATTGGCGAAGCAATATGTGGAGATGACGCTCTGGCGGAGGGTTGCTGAACTGAATCGCGATCATTTGCTAGCGGCCTCGCAGTTAGGTTTCGGGAAAGGGTTCTCCAAAGGTGATTTGCAGCCCCCAACTAGCCAGGGTCTACTACTGCATCGAGAAGATGACCCTGATGCCAAGTTTGTTTCATATCGCCAAGCCTACATGAAGAACGTTGTCGAGCAGTACAGTGAAAGCTTAGAAAAGATGAGAGAGGAGGAGAGCATGGATGCATATCGTGTACAGTTTCTCCTCCGCTGCTTGGACGCGGGGGCGAGCTTGTTTGGGAATTTGAAGTGTATGGAGAAGTGATAAAACAAATTACTGACTACAAGGGCGTTACCGCCATTGGTAGATCATTTGACTCATCGTCCAGTGGTAAAACTGGAAAGGGTTCTCAAAGGAAAGCTACTTGCAGATTACCCGAGGGAAGACAATTAGTTCCATAATCGATTAGTAGCGAACGCTTCCGTCCCTTTCGGCTTTAATGATCCCAAACTTCAGCATTGTCACACCTGGTGCAGGTGAAGAAGTACTGGTTCATGTCGATATGGTAGCCGACAGCCTCCCGGCGAGAAATGCAACCACTACGAGAGAAACCTGTGGAAGTGCTCTCCGAAGTTTTGAACGAAAGTTAGTACGTTGCTCTCGGCAGCCATTCTCCAGATCATAATAGTACTGAATAGCATCTGAATAGCCTTCCCGTAGGTTTCCTACACGCGGAAGGCGCGCTAGCTTCTTGAACCCAAGCTTTTCCCAAAGCCGAAGGCTGGCCACGTTCGATGAGAAAACAAGATTAAACAAAACAGCCTTAAACTCAAGGTCTTTTGCGACTTGCAGGAAGACAGTTCCCATCAGTGAGGCCACACCTTGGCGTCGGTAGCCAGGGTCTGTGATAAAGCCTCCATTGCAATAATGAGCACACCGCCCAGGAAAATTGGGCTTGCAATAGAAGGCTCCGATGACAGCGCCGCTGCTGTTTCGCGCGACGAGAGCCGTGTGGGAGAAAAAGTAGCTTCGAAACTCAAAGTCAGTGAGGGGCCTTTCAAAAGGCCATGACATTCCCTCTTTGATCACATCGTTCAGTAATGTCCTCACTGCAGCGATGTCGTGCTGATTGCGGATGAAGTCAATTTTCACAACTCTACCATTGGGGAGGTTGCGAATCAGTGGAATGTATGGCAAGGAACTGGAATAGTCCCTCCCGGTAGAGTCTTCATTCAAAACTGCTTGGCCATAAGCCGAAGTCATGATTCACAATATATTTCGAATCTGTCTTGATGATGATTCAACCACGAGTGCTTCACTCTTCTGGGATCGAGAAAGCAATCGAAAGCCAAAAATGAGACAAAAAATATTCTCACTCAGATCAAGCTCATTCCCCCTTCTCCTCTTGTGCAGTAGACTCGACAGACAATTCTTCCAATTGCTCGCTTGAGACAGGAGCCGGTGCGCCAGCCATAAGATCAGATGCACTTGTCGTCTTAGGGAATGCTACAACATCTCGAATGCTATCTGCCTTCGCCATGATCATAATGCATCGCTCTAGTCCGAGAGCCAAACCCCCATGAGGAGGTGCACCGAAGGAAAGCGCGTCAAGCAGGAATCCAAACTTTTCCGTCTGCTCTGCCTCTGAAATTCCCAGAACCTTGAAAATGTTCTGTTGCACCTCAGGATTGTGAATACGGATTGAACCTCCCCCTATTTCACTTCCGTTACATACGAGGTCGTAGGCATCCGACATGATATCGCCAATCCGACTTTCGTCCTCGAGCAAATTCATTTGGCTTGGTAAGGGCGAAGTGAAGGGGTGATGGACGGAAACGTAGCGTCCTGCCCCCTCATCGAATTCAAATAAAGGGAAATCCACTACCCAGCAAAAAGCATATTCCGGTCCCGTCGCGGTCAGTCCGTTTTCTTGCCCAAGCTTAACACGCAATCGTCCCAGACCTGCATTGACGGCTGCCGGAGTCCCACATGCAACGAGAATGACGTCTCCCAGTCTCGCGTTAAGTGCTGATGCGACGAAATCTTCAAACCCGGTTTTATCCCCCGTTACCTTAGACAGTGGTCCGTTCAGCGTGTTATCATTACCAACTTTTGCATATAGTAGCCCTGACAAACCGTAACTCTTGACGAAAGCCGTGTACCCGTCTAAAACCTTGCGAGAAGATGCCTTCGCAGCTCCAGTGATGACCATGGCTTTCACCATCCCTTTATCATCAAGAGCCTTTTTGATGGGAGAAAAGTCGCTGTCCTTGATAATTGGAGCGTCGGTGATGTCCTTCAGTTCCATCCCAAACCGCATATCGGGTGCATCAACCCCAAATCTATCCATTGCTTCCTTGTAAGGTATCCTCGGGATTTCTCCTATTTGCTTTCCTAAAACCTTTGCGAACATGCATTTGACTATTCCTTCGGCCACTTCCAAAACAGACTCACGTTCGACAAACGACATTTCAAGATCTATTTGTGTGAACTCTGGTTGTCTATCCTGCCTAAGATCTTCATCGCGGAAGCATCTTGTGATTTGGAAATAGCGATCGAAACCTGAAACCATCAGAAGTTGCTTGTATATTTGGGGAGACTGGGGCAATGCATACCAGCTTCCTGGATGAACTCGTGACGGCACAAGATAGTCGCGGGCACCTTCGGGAGTCGCCTTCGTCAGAATTGGTGTTTCAACTTCAATAAATCCGCTAGCATCGAGAAAGTTCCTCGTCGCCATCGTGGCCCTGTGTCGAAGTAGCAAATTTTCTTGCAGGGTCGGTTTCCGAAGGTCCAAGTATCGATATTTCAGTCTCGTATCGTCTGATGCTCCCCCAGTCGCAGCAATTTCAGTTTTAGTGCTATTCTTTTGATTTCCTTTCTTGGTGTCTGCCTTTTTTCCTTTACCTTGCTCTGCGATCATGAACGGCATGGGCTTTGTCCTGGATACGATCTTCACATCGGTAGCGACGATTTCAATTTCCCCCGTTTTCATCTCCAAGTTTACGACGGCTGCATCTCTTCGTGTTACTGTTCCTTCCACACCGACGACATACTCCAGCCGAATATTTTTTCCAGTTTCCACAGCTTCTTTTGGACTTTGATCGCCAATGGTGACCTGCACAACACCGTACCGATCGCGAAGCAAGACGAAAAGCACACCTCCTCGATCGCGAACCGCGTGAGCCCAGCCGTGGAGCCGAACCTGCTCTCCAACATGAGACGCTCTCAACTGGCCACACGTATGTGACCGGAGTTCTGTGCTCGCTGGTATTGGTGCCGGAGAGCTGACACCCAGGGTACTGGTATCAACGTCGGGCGGCGGCGAGACGGACGTCTTTTCAATTGAATCTGTTTGGGACATTCTGGCTAAATTTGCAGAATCGCATTTGGAGGAGTAGCTCGGGCAAGATATTCGAAGAAAGCTTCCGCGCGTTGGCCGTCTTCGCACTTTTAGGCAGTTTCCCAAAATACTCGAAGCGCGGAACCCCAAGCGCAGCATCGTGCTCGGGCAAGAAAATGCAAGATTCATTTCAAAGGTGCTGATCTTGAGCGATCGCTTTGCTCTGTTGGGAAATATGGTTTGGAATGTTCACTTGTATGCTTGTAGCTGGGGATCGCTCCGATAATACTAAACCACTGTTCTGCACGAGAAAGGCTTCAAAAAGTCGGAGCGGAAGAACGTTGACGATTGCTACCGAACCGTGAACAGCATGTTCACACTCAAATTTGTTTTCACTCACCCACGCACGAAGGTTAAGAAAGCCAAATTTGTTCTCACTCAAGGCATCTTTTTCGGCCCTGGCTACAGTATGCCGGCCCTGATCTGTGGGCTGGAGATCGCGCTGTTGACATCAACAGGCTATGTTGACAAAGAAACTGTAAGCAAGAAGTGTAAATCCATTTCCGTGACAGTGTACTTTGATCCGAAGTAACGAACACGTATTAAAGTTTGATCTTTGTTCGTAGCAGTGTCGTAGCTGGTGTTTTGACGGCGGCGTATTTGTTACGTCCAGGCCAACTTGTGATGAGCTCTATTTTGCCTCACTAATGCGGCCTCGGGCGCCCTGAGCATATTTGAGTGTCGATATTAGTTATGGGGTAGTGAGGGTTGCTATACCCGCCTGACGCGGCTGCTGTGAAAGCAGAGCCCGGACAGGCACGTATTGTGTACGAATTCTCTAGGCGTCGGCGACGAAAATGTGCAATGCCGAAGATCCGAAAGGTCTCCATCCTCTCATGGCAATGGGAAAACAGATTTTCGGCATGGCCATTTTCATCGCTTATCGCTTCAATAGAACAAACGCAGCACTTCTATGATGTGACTGAAGTCTTCGGGCTTCGTCAAGCATATAGCTGATCTCCGGATGACAAAAAGGATACTGAGGAGTGTTGCAAAAGATAGACTTAGAGCCAGACTTACATAAAGTAGGGAGCGAGCAAATAAGATATCAGGTTACGTTTGTTCTATTCTGTGGCGCGGATCTTCTCTACCTTGGGTTCCGCATCTAGCGCGGCTTGTTTCGCCATTTCTTGCCGTTCTAGTAGTTTCTGCGTGATGCGCACGATCCCCGTCACTCCCACATCGTCAATCATGCTTTGCAAGCCATATTCCTGTCTTCTTCGTTCCCGTAGCTGTGTGACCTCTGGCAGCTCTTTTTCTAGCAATGTAGCCGAGTTTCTCCAAAACCCCTGAACGCTTTCCTGGTTCTTCTCTACGACTCCAATACTGATTTCGTTGTGCTTGGGTACCTTTCGCCCGAGCGTGTTGCGCAAGTAGGTGAAAACGTCTCCGATCTTCTCCGGACTGAGGTTCTTCAGGGTGATAGATCTCTCGTATCCAGTTACTGAAACATAAATGAGACAAGAAAGGCAAAGGAGGAATGCGAGACAATTGGTTAGTTTTCAACACGACAGGTCGATTTTCTTTCTCGATCGCGCAGGAATACAAGTAAATAGAAGCCCGGACTGTTGTCTCGCTAACATCAGGAAGGTATTCCGTTTAAACCCAGAGGAGCACACGTCAGTAAAGAATGCAAGGCACGCACTATATTTGCCAAAGACGCAAGGATGTCCCCCACGGATCTCGGTCTTGAAAGTAATCTGCGGGTTGCGCTCAGCAAAATCCGCGAGGTCTTTTGCCACAAACTCGCGTATTCCTCGACTGCTCCCGCTGCTGGCGCAGTATCGCACAATTACCTCATTTAGCTCCCACACTCCTCGTCGCGCCATTGTTGTATCAGTCAAGCAATCGTTTGTTCACAAGGCCTCGTGAAAGCAGAAGAGTGCTCCCAGATACCACCGCTTGCGACAGACTTTCAGCCGCCGACGCGTTTTTGAGCTCGTCGTTGACCTTGCCTGTAAATCTGAGTGCCGTATGGAGTTGCTGGGCAATCTGCAGATCGGCGTGCTCTTGTGGACATCAAATGTAGGAAATGCTGGGAAGTGGCTTTGACGACGAGATGGCAGTCAAGTCTGCCGCTGATTTGTTTTGTGGATCACGGATCAAAGAAAAGCCCAAAAGTTTTTCAAAAATTATTATTGAATATGAAGACCATCAACTTGGACGACGTTTAATTCACCGATGCCTTTATCCGCGTCGCATACATTTCTGCTTTACCGCGCTGTATCCATCATAGACATGAGGATGATGCAAACTTGTGAGCGCAGGAAGAGGCTGATGTGACCAGGGAACCGCGCTAGGCAGCTTGAAATCATATCTCAGTTTTCGAGAAAGTGTTTGACTGCACCTGCGTTAGCTGCAGCCGGGAAGGCGGTATCGTTTATCCCAACCGCCGTGCGCCCGCTGCCCTCAACGAGACATTGGTCACATACCTTAAATGGGGGATAGATTTGATGGAGCCCTCGCTGGAGGTGGAAGAAGCCTCATGCCAGAAGTTGGCGTCGTGGATGCTGTACAACAGCTTGCATTGAACGAAACTTTGGTGACCGCAGACGAGTCTGGTAACCTTGTCATTTTCCGTGCGATTCAGAATCCTTACCATGGAGGGTTTATGGTGACGCAAGAGTGTGGAGTGACGAATCGGGATGCAATGACGAATGCCATCAAGCTCTCTCAAATGACCTCAATGCTCAATGACAACGACAGATGCGCAAAGTATGCGAAGGCATTGTCTCGCGCTTTGCAAAAGCGGCCTGAGAGTAGGGTTTTAGACATCGGGACTGGGACTGGATTGCTAGCGATGTTAGCAGCTCGTGCTGGTGCGAAACATGTGGCTGCATCACCGCAGCTTGAGCGCGCTGTACTCTGACTGGCCCAGGGAAGAACGGGTGTCGCTCCCCCTCTTCCAATACAGGATGTCACCCAGCAGTGCGGCAGTGGTGCTCCATGAATACGACCTCTTCACGTTTTCCCCGAAACAGATAACAAGCATGACGGAAGGCGAGCTAATTGTGGACACAGCAAAGGGCGTGGACGCGGTACGTCTCTGGGTGGAGTACGACGGAATGAAAATGTCGGCGGTGGGGCGAAGCGAGGTATCGCTAGTGGGGGAAGCGTTGAAGACGCAGGTCGGCACGAGCGGACGGGTGGTAGTCCGGAGCGGGTTTGCAGCCTCGACAGGGACGTTCACCGTGTGTGTGCAGAGTAGGTTTAGCTAAGCGGTGTCGCGCGGCGCGGGCTGGTGGGGGCTAAAAGAAGCGGAGCGCTGGACGGGGTTATCATCCGGCGAGGCGACCCTGCTGGTGCCGCCTGCCCTGAGCCCGCTCCTCTCGTTGCCGGTGTACATGAGCCTGACGCCGACGGCGAGGCCGACGGCCGACGGGACGACGATGGCGCCGAGGATGCCCCACATGCCGTCCCAGTCGGCAGCGGCGGCGTGGCGGTACGAGCGCAGCGACGCCGGGTGGTACGCAGCGCACGGCGCGGCCAGGATGGCGTCGTAGCTGTCGCGCGCGGCGGCGAACGCGGCGCCGTTCCCGCCGCGGTCCGGGTGGTGCTTGAGCGCCGCCGCGCGGTACGCAGCGCCCACCTCCGTGCGAGTCGCGCCCGGCGACAGGCCGAGCCGCGCGTAGTGCAGGTGCAGCCGGGGGGGCATGGTTGCGGTTGGTGCGGAGAGAGGAGATGGGCGGGCGGGGGAGGGGGGCAGACCCCCTTTTATGAGGGGCGGAGCACGGGCGGATAGACGTCACCGATTGGATGCTGCGTTTTCGTTGCTGGGACGCGTGGCGCCGCGCCACGCGTCGGCTGGGCGAATGGACATGAGGAGAGGGGCCCCGGCGATGCATCGCTGAGGTTCGGGTCATCGTGGAGGTGCCCCGAAAGTGACGTCGCTTCCACGTGGACGGATCGTGATGTACCGGATGCACCGGAAAGCGAAACGCCCACTCGCCTACTTCCATCAAATGCGGCATGTGCGACTGCAATGCAACGTAAAGTACCAACGGTACTGTAGGCCCAATCTTCCACTTGCTCCCAAACCCTTTCTGAACTGTCCTTGCTGGACCCCCCCCGCCCATCTGCTCCTCGTGCTCCGTGTCCCGCAGATCACCGCTTCCTCCAAAGCCACCTTACCTTGATCCCCCCCTCCCCTTCCCTATCCACGCCTTCGCTTCGCCCACCCCCCCAGCCTCCGCCCACCATGCCTCCTCCCCCCCTCCCCGCCCAGCACCGGCGCCTCCTCTCGCACCTGCTGCGCGCGCAATCGCACACCGCCAGCACGTACAACTACACGCTCCCCACCTCGCACATAGCGCTGTACCCACTGCGCGACCGCGCCTCCGCGAACCTGCTCGTTGTGAATCCACGCTCCCCGCCGCGCCACCTATCCTTCCGCGACCTGCCCGCGCTGCTCCCCGCGCAATCCTTGCTGCTCCTCAACTCCTCGCGCGTCGTCCCGACCCGCGTCCCGATGCGCAACCTCACCACCGGTGCCCCGGCCGAGCTCATGCTGCTGCACCCGTACCGGCACGCCGACCCCGCCGCCGCGCTGCGCCGCCCGCCCCACGCCCAGGTCTGGCGCGCCTACATCCGCGGCAAGAAGGTCCGCGCGCAAGACCGCCTCGTCCTGCGCGCGGGCGACGCCCTCGCCGCCCACGTCCTCACGCGCGAGCGCCAGGCCGCCACCGTCCGCTTCGAGCTTCCCGTAGCCCGCCGCCCCGAACACGGAGCCTCGCTGGCAGACGTCTTGGCCCACGTCGGAGAAACCCCGCTCCCGCCCTACCTCAAACGCCACGCAGAGCCGGACGACGAAGAGAACTACCAGACCGTGTACGCGTCCACGGCCGGGTCCGCCGCTGCCCCGACCGCTGGCTTGCATATGACCGATCGCATCATGGAGCGGCTGCGGGAGCGAGGCGTGCAGATGGAGGACGTCGTGCTGCATGTTGGCGCGGGCACTTTTGCTCCGGTTACGGCGGAGACTGTCGGAGGCCATGATATGCATTCAGAGCTGATGAGTTTGCGCAGGGCCTGCGTGGAGAGAGTGGGTAGGCACGTGGAGAGCCGCAGCCCCATTGTCGCAATGGTAGGAGGGGATTAATGTAATTTGTGTTCTTTGAGAGGCGTGTTGGGCCTGTGTGCTGACTTATTTTTGTTTCTGTCGATACGTTCGTGTTTTTGCGTAAGGGGACTACGTCTGTGCGCGCGCTCGAGTCTATGTACTGGTTTGGCGTGCGTTTGCTCGTGGAAGAGGGCGCGGGCGCAAGGGCGACCATCCATGTCGGGCAGTGGGAGCCATATGAGAGGATGGATGAGCTTGGCAAGGACGCGCTCCCGACACCGCACCAGGCTATGGAGGCCATGTTACAGTGGCATCGCGAAAGGGATGTGCCCATATTCGGAACGACCGAACTTCTTATCGTTCCGGAATACCCGTTTAAAATGTACGTTTGCGAGGTGCGCACGGCGGCTCGGCAAGGGAGCTTTGGGTGAGGACTGTCACTAACATGAGTCCATTTCACGATATCGGTTCCGTTGTGCGCAGGGTTGACGCCATCATTACCAACTTTCATCAGCCACGATCAACGCTGCTAATGCTCGTCTCTGCTTTTCTTGGCGGCACGCCGCAGGACCTCTTTAACGTCTATCAAGAAGCCCTCGACCGTGGCTACAGGTTTTTGAGCTATGGAGATAGCTCTATTTTTGCACGACCCTCCTTTTTTGAGAGGTAGCACCTCGCTTGATGAGATGGAACCCGAGGGCATAATAACGCAACTATTTAAGGAACGAGCGGCTCTCCTCCCGGCACTTCCAAGGAAGTATCAGTGGTGCCTACACACTTTACCGAAATTCAAAAGAACACATTACTTCAAAGCGCGCACAACGTCACCTGTCAGAGAGAGAGAGAGAAAAAAGGGGGGCACACGGCCCTACACAACCACGAAAGGTTCCCTTTCACAAGTCACGAGGACTTGTGAGAGGGAACACATTCGTGGTACATACCCCCAGTATTCCGTGTCGATGATTTTGCCCGGGTTCAAAATAGTATCTAGGTCCAGTGCACGCCTGACGGTCTTCACCATCGCCACCGCGTTTTCGCTGAGTTCTGGGACGAGACACTGCTTCTTTCTAATCCCGGCACCGTGCTCTTCAGTCCTTGGCTCGTCCGTGGTAATCGCTCGATTGACCATGAGATTGTTTCACCGAGGCGCTTCTTGATGCTCCTTCGGGTTGAGGGGATTAAAGGCAATGACGGTATGAAAGCTGCCATGACCCACGTGTCCCACGATTGGACTAGAGAGGAAGAAGTCGTCCAACTGCTCTGTTGTGGCCATGATGCAATCGGCCATTTGGAAATGTGGACCGCTACACATCCGTGGCCATCAGCTCCTTACGCTCATAGTACAACTGAGCGGCCCAGGCAGCGTGCTTCGTCGCACCCCAGAGCTCAGCACCCTCCTCCTCCGCATTTGCGAAGTCAGATCCTTCCTCGTGTCCTTGGAATTGATCTCTTATCAAAATGAAAGACCACACGAAAACCCATGAAGTTTACGCAATGCTAATGCAATACTGGTTTGCAACGGACCGAGGACTACGACAAACTTATTCTACTATATTCTAAATAAATGGATCAGGTCTGACAAAAAGTGCGACTTGAGAAGACGCTTTGTGGATGCCTTGTTCGCGCGAGAAATGTCAACAAAGCATGGAACCAAACATTTTCGCTACTACATCGCCCAGGAGCCGCCCGAGCACATACCACGTGAGAGCCAAGTTATATGGGCGGCGCGTCATCGCTCTCTTGCAAAAAGGATGCCAACTTCCAGCATGAAGCGGAAATGACGCTTCTGAATCCAACAAATACCAAGCCAATACGCGCACGAGTTGTATAGAATATCTTTGTTGCAGCATGATAAGTCGGAAGTATGCGAAAGATGTTCGGTCGCGGTGTTTACAAGAGACAAATCGAAACATGGTCTGCAGTGTGGTTTAAACCGTGCTGATTCAAGCAGCTCAGGCTGAACCGCTTCCCCTCTTGGATCTTCTCCTCTTTTTCTTACCCGACTTCGAGGCTGTCCCATTCTCACCCTCTGCATTGTTCTGCGCAGGTGGAGCAGGAGTTCCGTTGGCAGTCTTTTTTGTAGGTCCCTTGGCACTGTCCGCTTTCGGAGCTTTTTGAGAAGTCTTCACGGCCGCGGGCGTACCAGGACGTTGACTAATTTTTGACTTCTTCGTTGTCGGCGAAGCTGGCTCAACCGGGTTAGCTGCCCTCTTCTTGCGGTTCTTCTTCCCTTTTGAATTCCTTGGGGTGTCATCATCGCTGACCTTCTTAATCTCATCTTCCTCCTCCTCTTCAGGTCTGGCCTTTCCCTTTTTGCTACCCTTCTTCCCAGACTTTGCAGCAGGCTTGACATCTTCCTTGTCCGATTCCTCTGACTCTTCTTCAGATTCTTCCTCAGAGTCTTCTTCTGGTTTCATGAAAGAGATGCTCTTCTTCGTTTGCCTCGGAGTGACTTGCTTCGGCTCAGCCTTCTGCTTTCCGTTTGGAAGCTTGCCCTTGTTCTTTTTGCTAACAAGAGCCTCTGTTCTTTTCTCTTCCTCGTCCTCTTCCGTAACTTCCGTGATGACCGGAGGCCTGTTGACCAATAGGCGAGGATCCGGAATGTCCCCATCCCCATCCGAGTCAGAATCCATGTCATCACCATCGTCATCGTAAAGACCGATCAATCCCTCGGCTTCCCCATCGCTGCTCTCGTCAGAATCGGATATGTCATCCTCAAACGAAAAATTTCCTACGAGATGGACCACGTTCTTGCCGGACACCTCAAACGTAATGCTCTCATCTCCAATAAACGACACGTCCATAACACGACTTTCTGTGTTCCCAGCTTTGAGGACAACCAACCCATGCTTTTGATTGCCGTCGCGGACAGTGGCGGAGACGACAGAGCGGCCCTTTTCGTCAGCCAAATCGACACCAAGCGAGGCCATCGTAACGTGCAGCGTCTCTCCATCTTGGAGGTCGAGATCTGCGGGCTCCCCAGGCTTCAGAGCAATGCCCCAAAACGCGAGCTTATCTGTTTCCATTGGTCAAATGCTCTGCAATGGAGACCAAAATGCAGAATATTAGTTGATGCAGATGAAACCAACGGTGTTGAAGTGTGGCGGGCGATGCGGGCTGGACGTCGACGGTGGCCGCTGGCGACTTTTATATCAGTTACCAACCTGACGTCGTATGATTGCGGGATCCACATTCTTATTTTTAGAAATATTTTGACACATAGCCGCTACCAAATTGTTTGATCCTGATCGTAACGGAAAGGTGGCCAATCACCACGCAGTCCGCCGGCGGTGGCAATTTTCCAGAACCCTGCTTGCCTTATTGTTGCAACAACGTACGCCACCCCGCTCGACTTTTCCGCCGGCGACGAACTCGCCTTTCACGCCCTCAGGCTCTGCTTCAGACCAAAATGCCTTCCGCCCATCCCCTCTACACCCCGTACCGCGCTCTTGGGTTGGTTTGTGACGGCTCTGTCGCCCGCTGTTCTCCAGTACTACATCGACAAGGCACGGCAACATTCCTTACCACTCCCGTCTGTGCCGGTCGCGCTCTCCACCTTTATGACGTTTCTCTCCAACTCAAGCTCGTTTCCAAGCCCTTTCCTTCTGCATGGCCTGAAAGCCCTATCTCTTGTCTTGCAGCCGCTCACGACCTCACCTTTGTTGCGCTGGGCTCTGATATTGCCGTGCTCAAACGTCTGGCCCCGGTCACCATCTGGCATGGTCACGACGCCCCAGTGAGACATCTTTTCATAGCTGGCGACGTCCTCGTGTCTTCCTGTGAAGATAATCGTCTTATCGTCTGGAGCATCCCGTCCTCTACGAAGCGCACATTGCCAATTGAGGGGGCCATCCTCGCTGACATCACCTTGCCCCCAAAATTTGAACTTACTGCCATTGCTCACCCACCCACATATCTCAACAAAGTTCTTCTTGGTGCCAGTGATGGCCGCTGTATTCTGCTTAATCTCCGAACAAAGAAGATCATTCACGAGTTCGACTCATTTCCTGCCGCTGTCACGATACTCGAACCCTCCCCAGTGCTCGACGTAGTCGCCGTTGGGCTTGCTGACGGGCGGGTTTTGCTTCACAACTTTCGCGCGAATGAGACTGTCCTCACGTTCCAACATGCCGCGGCGGATGGAAGCGGAGAGGTTGCAGGAGGGTTGCCGCCACACGCTGTCGCAGCGGTCTCTTTTCGCTCCGACGGCACCGAAAGCCTTGTCTCTACTGATTTTAGTGGTAATTTGTTTACGTGGGATCTGAATGAGCGACGCTTGAGTTCTGAGCTTCGAGGCGTACATGCAGGCGGTGCGTCTCTGTGTCAGTTTTTACTGGCAGAGCCAGTTTTGTTCACCTCAGGTTTGCAGGATAACTCGGTTAAGGTGCACGTATATGATGGTTTGAGGAGAGAGCCTCGAGTTCTCCGGTCACGCGAGGGGCATAGGCTACCGCCGACTTTGGTGCGGTTCTGTGGCTATGATGGTAGCATGATGGTATCAGCTGGCCTGGATAGAGAACTCAGAATGGTTTCAATAGTGAGGGAAGCCCGAAATAAGTCCCTTGCACAGAAGGGCGTGGAACCTCGCGGACGAAAGGCGAAAAAGAGGAGAAGAGCAGACGCGGGAATTGAGAGGGGTGATCAGAGGCTCGACCTTGCGAAGAAATTGCCGCCGATTACATCTATTGCTTCTAACAATTTACGTCAAAGAGATGAAGACTTTGCAAATATCGCAACCGTACATTCGGAGTTGAGGGAAGTGTACACCTGGAGGATGCAGGATGGTGCCACTCATAGCCATGTGCTTTTGCCTCCGGATCGGCCAGAGAAGTACCAACTCGCCTTTCGGCGAGGCGCCAAGCACTTGGATTCGAAGAATATGAAAAAGAGTGGCAAGGCAGCCAAGCCGATGGTGGAGGATCAAGCTGCGACTTGCGTTGTTCTTTCACCGTGCGGAAATTACGCCATTGTTGGAGGGCAAGACGGTCGGATACATTCGTACAACCTCCAGAGCGGAAAACATCAAGGAGTGTATGGGGATGAGTCTCTGGATGAAAATTTGAAGATGAAGAAAACAGCAGAGGAAGATAAGACATGTCTTGTTTGGGAGAAAGCGCACTCAAGCCCGGTCGCTGGGCTTGCTGTTGACGGGTGTGGAGATGTTATGGTATCCGCCGGCTATGACGATTGCCTGATCAAGTTTTGGGATATTCACGGCCGTCTCCGTCGGGAAGGATCTATACAAACGCCAACCCAAATCACGAAACTGATTTGGTGCACAGCCTCGGACCTTTTGGCTGTGACGTGTGATGACTTTTGCATATACGTTTACGACGCATCAACAAAAAAGTTGGCACGCAAGTTTTCTGGTCACGCTGGATCTATTGTAGATATGAACTTCGATCCCCTTGGTCGCCGTATTATTTCGGCAAGTATGGACAGCACAATCAAGACATGGGACTTACCGTCTGGGCGGATCATTGACACATTGCTGTGTGTGAACGCCCCGACAAGCGTGGCCGTCGCTCCCAGCGGGGAATATCTGGCTTCTACACACGTCAATGACCTTGGTCTGTCGCTTTGGGTGGACACGTCAAAGTTTGCAAGTCTTTCTATTCCTGGACAAGGTGATGAGGATGATGATGTGACGATGCTTGGCTCTGCTGATGGCGGGGATGAGAACAGTGATTCAGAGCAGGCCAACAAACCCACGCACGATAAAGCGCGAGAGAGGGGACAGGCACCCACAATTGAACCGCTCTCTAGCAACATTGCAACTTTGAGCGCAAAGCCGTTAACGCACTGGACAACCCTTAGCAACCTTCAGGCGATAAAGGAAAGGAACAAACCAGTGGAGCCGGCAAAGAAGCCAGAAGCGGCACCCTTCTTTCTCCCAACTGTCAAGGGTATCAAGATGGAGTTTAACGTTGGCGATTCCGACGAGGTCAGGTCAAAGATTGCGAAGAAGGCCAAGGACAGAAAAGGAGGGTTTGGCGATGCGGAAGATGACGATTGGGCCAACAGCGAATTCGGTCGCCTTGTCGCGCGAGAACAGTACGGATCTGCTGCCAAACTGCTGCATAGACTTGATGCGTCTGGTGTTGACCTAGAAATTCAGACATTGGATGGGCCCAACTCAAGGATCAACGCTGCGCGATTCTTCCAAGAGAGGTTGGGTTCGCCTGAAGAGTACGAACTCACTCAGGCACATCTGAATCTGTTTTTGACCACGCACGGCACATGGCTTGCCAAGGATGAAGGAGGACCGGCACTATTAGAAAGTTTGTGTTTGGCTCAGGAAGGAGCATGGCAGAAGTTACGCACTGTCTTTGACACAGTAATGTCTCTCTCGGCCACTTTTTCAGGACAAGTGTAAAAGGCTGTAAATGGGACGGGAGTGGAGTGGAAGATCGATGTGTGGTTGGTGTCTACGCCGTAAGAGGTGTCGCGACAGGATCTGCCACAGATGCCGCCGAAGCAACCGCGAAAGATAGACAAGAAGAAGAAGCTTCTAAAAAGCGGTATTCTCCAAGCGGCCCCCCTCAGCCTCAGCCTGTCAAGAAGACGAAACACATCGCCCTTTCGACTGAGAACCTTTCTATCGTTGTGGCGAGCTACAATATTCGCTTCAGCGAGTATTCACGCAGGTGCACGTGATCCGTCGGGCGGCACAACGATGTACCAGACTTGCGTTTGTTGCGGGCAGGGACCCCGCTGGAGGTCAGTCCTCAAAACTCGTGGAATTTTTCAACCTCGGGTTTATACTTTACGTCCTGCGATTTTGTGGGCAAATGAAAAAACAGCGCGTTATTTTACGGCCAACGTTATTAAATCGAAACTTTATAAAGTCAGTTTGGAGACCATTTCTGTAAGGTACATGCCCTCGGCAAGAACAACTTGGAAAACATTGGGATAGCAGTTGTGCATGCACAGAAAAACTAAGAATCCAGTGAAGTTTCAATACCCGGTTGACATTTTAAACAGGCGTTTTGGTTTCGGAGATATCAACACATAACGCTTTGAGGTTGGTCAGAAAGGCTTCTTTTTTTCAGGCATTCTAAAACGGATGGAGAAAACGTCCAGATCTCACCAAACTCCATCCTTCCGCAACGCCGAACTCAACTGCAGTGGCGATAGTATCCTTTTCCTTGTTGTTGAGCAAGCAGAAGTCGAGAAAAAAAAAGTTGAAAAGTAGCCTCATATGAGGTCACTTGTCATCTAGACATTAGAGATGTACAGTGCGCTCAGCGCTCGAAAAGACACTCCTACCGCGCAGGTGTGCAGGTGTGCATGACTTGTGTGCACTTCTCTGGACAACCAGATGTAGAAGCGTTCCCTGAAGAGAGGGCAAAAGTTGCCGTGCTCCGGTGCTCGAGCACACGGTACTCATTTGTACCATCGCTGCGCAACTCCAGGCGGCCTTGAACAATGAGATAATTAAGGATGGCAGTTCACGTGACAACGATGACGATAACGACAGCTATGATGATAAGAATGATGGCGAGGAGGATAAAGATTATCATTTTCTTCTTTCTGGCCGATGTCTGGTACTTGTGGGCCTCGACGATCTCGTCATCAGCCCTCTTGACATCGCCTTTCACGTGCTGGACATTGAGTTCAATGTCATTAATGAGGCCCTGTTGATTCTCGGTGAGAAAGGAAAGCTCCGTGAACATGTCATGCAACGTAGCAACGTCGGCGTTGAGCTTGACCAACTGAGAATTCCTCTCTCGTATATCGCGAACCTGCCATTTGAGGTCAGGGCTAGCGCGTTCCAGCACGGCGTCCATACCCGCCGGTCGTGTCATAGCGTGATCGACCGCCGCGGAGTCGAGCGCGGGGTCGAGGTCAGCCAGTCCCTGCCGTACGTCGTTGTGCAGCACGAGCCTGTACGCCTCGCGCGCGGCCTCGTAGTCCGTGAGGAAGGCCGAGAAGCGCTTGGAGAGGGCCTCGAAGCGGGCGACGCGGATGCGGACCGTAGCGGGGCCGCTGGCGGGGTCGGCGGCCGCGGCGGAGTTCTGCGCGGCAAGGGCGGCCAGGTCGCGGCGCACGGACGCGGCCAGCGCGTGCAGCGCGTCCATGTGCGGGGTCAGGGCGGCCGGCGCGGCGTCCGGGCGCGAGAGAAGCGTCTGCGAAGCCGAGAGGGAGCGGGCCAGATGCGTCAGGTCCGCGTCTAGACGCGAGGTGCGCGTCTCGAAGGCGGACTCGGACGGGGACGCGCCCGGCAAGGCGGCGCCCAGGTCGAGCTCCACGTGCGGCGACGCGGACATCATGGCGGGCGGCCGCGCGGCGGCGTGCGGAAGCGGGGGGCGTGCGGAATGTGAAGCGCGGCGAGGGGGACGGGGTGCGGGATTGGGGGCGGGTGGTGGGCGGAATGGAGCGCGGCGGGTGGCACCCGCGGCGGTGCGTTTTGGCGGCGGTGTCTTGTTTATCTGTGCGGGTTGGGTAACGGGGGCAGTGACTGGGCGGACATGGCGGCAACGCAGCGAGGGGAATGTCTCTGGTGGGAGAGTGGGCGAGGGGTGTTACCGTTGGTTGCCGGCAGCGGGGTTTCTCCGACGGGGGGGGCGTCGAAACGGCGTGCGAGTTAATTTATGCAAGTTGCTGTCGGACAGGGACACCCCCCGCCACGTTGGCGCTCTGCTTTTTTCTTTTTCTGTTACACCATCAGCGCCGCCGTGATTGGACGCGGCAGCCGGCGCCCGCGTCCCACGTGCGGGGCCGTGCACTGTCGCGCTTGCTGCCCAATTGGTGCCGGGCGAGCCCCCCCCACTTGATGCCGCGCGCAACAGCAAGGTTGTGTCGTGACCGGCGTCGACAATATTCGCATGCGGCTCCCGCGCGGAAATGCCCGCTTTCGTAGAAATCACCTTACCGACTTGTCGCCGCACCGCCATCCTCGGCGCGGGTCACACGCCTCTCACGCATTATGGCATCATGTTCACCCATGTTCACACCGTGCGCCTTTGCACGGTGCGGACTCGTGCAGGCCGACGTCCATACATGTCCACACATGCCCGCCCGTCCATGCTGTCTTAAAGGAGCCCTTCTCTGCCCAATTCCTGAGTAATCAATGGCTTCTTTTGCCCCTACTGTAATTGAGTTTATTGAGAATTGTATTAAAATCACGGCGCATATCGCGTATGATAAAAAACTTTATTTACAACCAGGGAGAACCCGCTCCCTCGCTGTGTGTGTGTGTGCGCGAGCGTCGACCACGCGTTGTCATAACATGAAATCTCCGAATCTCCTTACGTTGTTTCTTTCTCATCTTGCAAGCCGAGTAGAAAGCGCCCAGTAGAAAGCACCCTCCGGAATGTTCCTATGCTCCTGCCTCGCTCCTGCTACAGGTTGAGAACTAGAGAGAGAGAAGAGAAAAATGGGTACAGTATGGTGAGATCTGCCATGGGCTATATCACCTTTATGTGCCTCAAGAGCATCCCCACCGGTGCGTGTAAACTGATACATTTTTGAGCAACTTGGCGAGCTTTGATTGGCCCCTCGCTATTTTACACCTACTTACACCTGCTCTTTTAAGGCTGTTCCGAAAACTGCCGACAATAATTGCATTGACCTGCTGGTCAACCCCACCGGTTGCTCTTCGCTACAATCGACGAGCAAGTGCTTTACCTGCATCAGTGATGCCCCTTCTCGTTGCAAACCAACACGCGCAAGTGAAATCGCGCCTTGCCGAGTCTCGAAAACTCGAGACTATGAATCAACCTTTGTCCGATGGACACTATCATACCCTTGGGTACCTGGTAAAACCTCACGTAATAGTAATAGTAATAGTGACACCCATTCCGCGTTTACATAATGCAATGAGATGGAGCTCCCTTTCCACTTTGAAAGGGTACTCCATCTCATTGTATATGCAAGTTCCAACAACCCCTTCATCAACGGATACGCCCTCTGACCTTGCTCTCCCACCAACATCTCTCTCCGTATACCCACCACACAACGCCCCCTACCACCATCTCCAAACTCTAGAGTCTAGTGTTCAACACCGCCATACGCTCTCTTTCAACTACCGTATCCAAACTCATACTGCACATAAACTTACCAAGTAGTCTAGAGCTGAACACTGTGTTCACACACCTGCTCACACAGCTGTGTGAGGAGACGTTGCTCACATGACCAACATCTTCTCACACACCTGCAAATTATATATATATTATATTTTGCATGCCATCGCCTCTACCAGATACACTCGTCCTCTCTTTCTGCAGCGCCTTGCAACGCCTTCCATCTCAAACCGTGGAGCGCCCCGTGCCAAGCTACCTAACAAATCCAAACCCACTTCCCGCCACTTTCCTGCCCCAGATGCCGCCACCGCTCCAAATTCTACTTTTCACCCTATACGTCCATCCCCCTCTCCCAAGCCGCACCTACCCACCATCACCTCGGCACCGCTCCCGAACCTCTGTCGCGCGCGCCCTCGTCTCCGCCGCCCCGCCCTCGCCTCGTCTTGTTGCGAGCGCCGACTCGCACCGCCGCACATGC